CTCGCTAGACGTGGTTTATAGACTGCCCCATGGCTTCAAGCTAGCTAGTGGTAGGTAATAGACTGCCCCATGACTTCAAGCTAGCTAGTGGTAGGTAATAGACTGCCCCATGAACTTCAAGCTAGCTAGTGGTGGGTTATAGACTGCCCCACGACTTCAAGCTAGCTAGTGGTGGGTGACAGATTGCCCCATGACTTCAAGCTAGCTAGTGGTGGGTGATAGACTGCCCCATGACTTCAAGTTAGCTAGTGGTGGGTGTTAGACTGTCTCATGACTTCAAGCTAGCTAGTGGTGGGTGATAGATAGCCCCATGGCTTTAAGCTAGCTAGTGGTGGGTGATAGATTCCCCACAATCACTACCAGAGACAACTACACGTTCTTGGAAGGTTGTCTGATTTCGCACTGCAACATCTACTGTATTTCAGCACTCATGATCTCCATAATGTTTTAACAAGGAAGTATCAGTGCACTAAATTATATCCAGATTATACCATAAAACACCACCGTGTACATGGAGGTACTATAATTTCCTTTTCTACACATACACATGCAGTCCACTGTTTCTGGACTCAGTCTGGACAGTATCAAATGACTTTTCATGGATCACCAGCTTACCTTTTGCACAGGCAAAACTGATGGACAAAATCTGCAGTATGTCCACCCTGCAGATGTTGATTCCAGATCCAAGGCCATAAGTGACTATTTTTATTTTGTGGGAAACTCCTTTCGACTGATCCAGAGATCTACGTTTTCACTAATCTCTAGGCTATCACTATTTACCAGAATATACTTGCTATTCACTGGAGTTAATGGTGGTGTCAGTTGGTGGGCTTAAGGGATCGCAAGTATTCTGTGTCTATTAGAACTTAAGCTTCTCACCCTTGTACCCTTTTTGGTACAAACCAAACTTCACCCAGCCCTGACAGAGCTGGGCTGATCACTAAACTCTTTCATGCAAGCTTTCCACTGTGTTCCTCCAAGCCAGTGGTTAATCCTGACTTGGGCTATGGTAATTTTCTGGAGCATAAGCTGGTTATATTGGACCTGGTTTCTTGATAGACAGTTTCAATTCTTTTGCTTACTTTGCTGCTTGATAAAATAGCTGGCATCTTCTGATCTGTTAACAAGAGCCAACAGCTCTGCCATCTTTGCTGTTCAGCAAAGTATGGGCAGCTTCTTTGCTTGTGCTCCACTAGTTCAAAAGTCCACAAACAAAGCTCAGGCCACAAAGCTCTCACTGCAGGTTTCTTTCCCTCTAACAGCCAGATTGAAGTACCTACGACACTGCTTTTGTGAGAATGACTATGTCCCTCACTCCTAGTTGCTGCTGTATAACCACATTGAAAATTCCTCGATTAACCTATTGAGCAGCAAATGCTTCTAATTTATTGAAGCTACAGATGAAGATTCCTTCTTGTGCAGTTGGCACATCTTTTCCACATAATCAGCCAATACCCTGGTGTTGAATCTCATCTGACTGATCATCCAAGTGGCCAGTGTGTTAAAACAGCAATGCAGCTCAAACATGACCATTTCCCAGTCATCTTGCTGCTCCTAATTCAAATGTTCAACAATGTCAAGGGCCTGACTGTTTATTTCAGGATCATACATTGCACAACTTGTCCATCCATTCCAGGTCCTCACTTGCCATCTCTTTGAACATCATGGGCGTGATCTGTCTGATTTCACTCACAGGAACCCATGAGCTAGAGCAAGGCCCATCTGTCATAATACTGACAGATGCTGCTGGTGTACCTAGTTCTGAATGGAAACCACTTACGGGAACTCAGACATCCAGTGGATCGTCTGTCCACAGTCAAGGTTGTTACGTTTTACAATTTCGAATGGTCTGAAACCGAGCTAAATGATAATTTAAATTTAGTAGTTAAATAAATGCCGATATATCTCCAATTTATGATATTTTCCAACAATACTGATACACACAGTTTTCTTTTTTATACAAATATGTTTTAATACACAAACAACAATACAATTTACAATAACAGTTATTACAAATAGTTATTACAAACAATGATTTATTACGAAAATTTCACAAACTTACAAGCAATATAAAGTCTTCTTTCTAGTCTGAAACTTCCTTGATATCTTCTCGAGGGTTCAAGATGACCGAGTTAATTTCGAGTTGATGTAAGTATACTTCACTTAACAGGGAGCTAGCTAGCCCTGTAGTTCTCACTGATCACACGCCGATTAAAGGTCGAGTTTCCACCGATGACGTTAGGTTACATTTTCGTAAAAGTACTAATGCCCGATGTGAATCCACTGAAGTTGAATGATTTGTAATGTTCGAAACTTATAAATGTTTCTGGTCGAATATCTGAAGTTTTCCGAGTAATAAGCATTATAACAATCAAAGTTATAGCTTCCAAAGTTTATAGCACACCAACTATAGCAAACCAATAATAGATACTATCTTTAGATGCGTCAGGCTGGTTATATTCATAGGCGTGTGGAGAGTTTCTCGAAAATTCAGATTACGAAACAATACAAAGCTACACTGGCGTTTATGTACACACATATACTGTTGATTCTTACACTCGAGAATCTTCTACAATCTTAGAGAATGGGGGAGTTTCGCAATACATATTTCACACTATAAACTATGCATATTTCTAAATATAAGCTTAATCTAAACAAACGTTGATATTAATATAAAAATATAATAATAAATCCGCCACAAGGTTTACATGGTGTTGAGTCATTCGAGGTGGTATATTTTACAGCCCTGCATGACCAAACGTGTTGCAAATTACCACTGACGTTAGAGGGAACCTTTTTATCTTGAAAGCTAGTTCACACCATGACTCACAGTCTTTATCCATTGCCTCACTTTCTGGGGAGATAATTCTGGGTGGTAGAAATCACCCACAAGCAGCACAGTCAACCTTTGTCCATTAGTTGCTGGCCAACTTGATCAGAGCTGAGATTTCAAAGTTCTGACTAGTGACATCCTAGGAGATTGATGGAGATCCTCCCAAGTAGTCTCAAACTCATCAAGTGCCATCCCATTTTGATAAGTTTCAGTTGTCTATGCTTCCTTTACTCATTGGTTGCAGACCGACAGATGCCATAGATATTTGCAGTATCTGCAAAAGTCCTATGTCTCTCTTTTTTAGTAAACTTTCCCTCTTGGTCATGAGTATTTCTGCATCCAGAAAATGCCATTCTTTTTATGGCAACCATTCTTATAAACTTCAGGGATCAAAACAAAAACTAGTATTGTACATTATCGCTTCAAACATTTTACAATAATTCTTGATGTAATAGCACCAAAATTTCTCCTTCCTATCTATTTGTGGCATTTTCATGTAACAACAGATTTACCAACTAGTTTCAGACTAATAACAGCAGAATTGCTCAGGAATAAAGAGAGTAATTCTGAATCTGATAACTGAGTTTCCTTGTATGTTTAATTTAGTAAATAGATGGGCCAAAAGGTCTGTTTCTGTCCTTCAACATTACGTTAAAAGCCTACACTGGTGAAGTAGTGATGTAAGGCCAAGTAAAAAATATATGTTTAGCATCCCTGCCTACTTCCTTTTTTCATCCACCACCACCACATTTTTTTGTCGATTCTTTTTCTTTTTGATATATCGTTTTTCGATCATACTCTTCATTCCAGGTATTGTTCCATCCCCATCGACTTTTTAATGTAAACTAGTAAGATAGCAACGTATGATCTGTGACCTGCTAGTTATCGAGCACACATGTACAGTATTATTACGTATCTGCTCGTTTGATAATTTCCCGTAAAAATTCTTTCCGAGAAA